CCCCCAAGAATAAATGTCGCCCCTTTTTAAATCTGTCCTGGAGCAAAAATTTCTCCTAAAAAGTGAACTTCGTACAGTGTATATGGAATTCTTTCCGTGATGCTATACACAGGGTAGTCGTGTGGCAGGGATGAGGCTCCAACAGGGCGAAATCCTCGCGTCAACTCGCAATCGAGCACAAAAAAATTTAACAGCAACTCGAAAAGAACGAGCAACAGGATCTGCACGGGTTTGCATACTTGTTGACATAAAATAACAGTCAATAACGGAGAGCCAGAGGACTTGTTTATGTTGAGCAGGGTCAACACGACAGCATCATTATCTAGCTCACCACGACGGCATTCTGGACATGATAGAATAAACACAGTTATACAGCATACATAGTTCACAGTTGTCGGAACATGTCATACGAAGCACATGAAGTAGTGAGGAATACCAACAGTGAGATCCCAGACTCGCTTATGCTAAACATGATTAACACGACAGCAGATATCTGGCACTCGCGTGATAGTACATGTACAGTGTACATGTAATTGAAGGGATAACATTAACAATTAAATGCATGACAGTCGACACGAGCAATCTCCGGTGTTGACACATGGTTTCGCGGGGTCATCACAAAGTCAGAGCTGTTCCCAGCATCGAAGGAATAACAGTTACAATACAGAGTTTCTCACACAACAGTGACATTGACAGTCGGAACTCTCCAGTGCTGGTGCATGGCTTTCGCGGGGCCACCACGATGGCAGAGTCGGTCAGCTGTCCACATTGATAGTGAATGATGATACAGGGTGTATTTACTGACGTTAACATAATCAGATGCAGCCAGACACAGTTACATATCAGCAGAGCCAGAAGACTAGCAGAACTGATCAACTTAGTCCGACTTTAAAGTCGATGAGCTCGCATCGTGCAGCACGTACAGGTGCGTGGACAAGGTGTTCACGAACATGACGACAAGTCGAAAAACAAACCACTAAAATCTCCCACTACACACGCCATCCTGCCGATTACGCCAGTGTATCGGCGTCTACCGTCACCACAGGTTCGAATGGCGATGTGGGAATGAGAGACATCAGCGAAGGCTCATAAATTACACTCAACAACAATCACATTTATTCCAATAAATGATCAACTAACAGGAGCCATCTTGACAAGCCATGAGACTTGCCTTCCCATAATGCAATTCTACATAGACTGGTAAATTGTCCCGTTACAGTCCTACATCATGCAGGCCCAGGCCTAGGCTAGTAGCTAGTCCAAGTAGTTAAAGGCAATTTGTAGGGTCCGGGTTACTCAGACATGTCAAACTAGCCTTGGCCCTGGGCCAGAAAGATTTCTGGAGGACGCCACTCAACACCCTATGCACAGATGACGCACGGAAATAGGGCTATAGCCTTCATCATGTACGTAGACCCTACATACATGTGCGAGAATGGCTAGTATGAAAAATTCTAGGTATTTTTCTAAGTAACTGACTAGGTTTTTCCCTCCTAAATTGAACTTGTCTTAATATGTTTTGCTTTCTGAAGGCTAGTTTATTAATAATAATATTTGCACCCCCCCCCCCCCCC